AACAAACGATTAATAAATAAACATTACCGCTGCCCTCTAAATATATATATATATATCTCGCTGTTGTTGGAAGAAAACCTTGTATCTTCATTTTTGTCGTTTTTCGGTTTTTGACATAATTTGAAAATGCCTGTTGCCCTTTACATTGTATGTAAATTTCATGATGAATGGACCAAAGGAAATGACCCAAAATGACTTGTAAAAATGTCTGGTTCCATTCACTTGCATTAAAAGTAAAGTAGGTTTTTTCCTTTTCCTGTAAAGTTACCATTTTGGAGATACAAGGTTTTCTTCTGACAACAGCGATATATATATATATATACACATACAAACACACACACAGTGTAACATTAAATAAATAATATTATAAATAACATTACATTATTATAAACAACATTATTTATACAACCAGGAATGTTTGTCCAGAGCTAATTTGTGCTAAAATGGTTCTGAGCTGGGTAGCTTAGCTTGTAGGTTCTAATCTATATGACATACTGTCATCAGTAAAAACAGACAACAGTATGTCACATAGCTAAAAACAGCTCAACAACATTACAGCAGCATCAATCAACTGGACATCCACGAGATGTTTAACTTCTAAAAATGCACATCCAAACTTTAGACTTGTACTTTCTGTATCGTCAGGTTCGCGTCCGCACTTGCAATGTTTTTCCGTTTGTTTTGATGTCAACAAATAACAAAAACATGCCAAAAATGTAAAGGATGTTTTTTCTTCCCACAAAACAAGATTGTACACAACAAACTTTTTCAAATCCAAATCATAATAAAGTCTCTCCTCTTCTAAATACAAACACAAATTTATATGCTTGTTTTAAAGAGTGAGAAATAATCAATATAAAATTACAGCATATCGTCAGCAATAACCGTGACTTCCATGAGTTCTTCCACGACTTCTACTGCTGCCCTGCACAAAAAGTATCACAAAGAGCAGCTCTGAATTAGGCTACGCTCCAAATAAAACAACTACTGTTCTCCATGACACAAAGAGCTGAATTGGGATAGGTTCCTGATGAAATAAGCAGCTCCTGTTCGCTCCGTCACAGAGAGCAGCTCCCTTTGTCATCCCTCCAGCACGAACAGCATTTCCACAGGGAGTAACATGAGCCGGCAAAGAGTCATTTACCCCAGCGCAGATCCTCGCAGAGCAGCCACGCACTTCAAAGCATCCCTAAAGCCTTACGTTTACAGCAGTCAGCAGCCCTGCGAGAGCCGCGCAGTAACCACAGCACCCCCCACCCTCGCTCGGGCACGGCCAGATGGACGGAGCAGGAAGAGGAGAGCGGAGGGAGCGCTGGGTGGCCTCGGCCCGAGCTGTCTGCACAAACTTGCTAACTGCAGCTCCTGCTAACAATTACAGCCGAAAACAGAGACGCCGCGCTGCACAGACCTACTGCTGGAGGAGCACAGCGGACAGTTAGGCAGTAAAGTACAAGAGGGAGGATGTTACCGAGTGATTTACCGCTTTACGCTTTTTTGGCCGAGTAAAGAAAGAAGGAAAATCAAGAAACAACAAACATCGTTTCAAATGTTTAAATAAACAGAAATATTTGTATACAGTTGTAGGCAAAAGTTTGGGCACTCACAGCCAAATTACATATTGTATTGGTATTGGAAGTAAAAACAAGTAAACACAACCAGACTACTTTTTAATGAAATAACTTAAAAATAGAAACAAAAAAATCTAAAATAGTAATTCATGCATGTGAAAATGTTTGGATACCCTCCCAGATGTAAAGTCTCCAAACTTTTTTAACTCATTAGGCCTGGTTAGGCAGATCACATATGGTTATTAGGAATTGTCAGCTGATTCCAGAGTGTCTACAAACATTGTGCCAACAATCGACAACCATGGGCTCCCTTAGCCGCTGGCTAAGGATCAGAAAACGAAGCTACCGATGCCCATAAAGCAGAGGCTACACAAATGATATCAAAGCACTTCCAATGTCCAAAACGCACAAAGAAATGGCAGTCAAGGGGAACTGAAAAGTCAAGGCAGAATCTGAAAGACCAGCTAACTCTCAAATAGAACTGATTTTGTGGCCAGAAAGGCAAAGCAAAATCCCCACATCACAGCAAAGCAGGGTTGCTCAATCCTGGTCCTGGAGATCTACCACCCTGGAGAGTTCAGATCCAACACACCTGGCTTATATAGTCAGATGCCCCTGAACATCTTGATTACCTGGGTCAGCTGTGTTAGATTAGGATTGGATCTAAACTCTGCAGGGTGGTAGATCTTCAGGACCAGGATTGGGCACCTCAGCAGCAAAGGAACTACTGGATTTAGGTTCAACTGACACTGGAGCAGTGGCGCACCCTTCTACCACGCCTGAAGCATGCAACATCTAGAAATCCAGAGGCATTCTGAAAACAAGTGCTGTGGACTGATGAGGTATTTGGGCACAATCACTAAAGGGGCGCTTGGAGAAAAAAGAGCAGCATTTGATGATAAGAACACCTTGCCAGCTGTTAAGCACTGAGTAGCAAGGCAGCCAGTGGTACAGGAAACATTACACAGGTTGATAGAAGAATGGATTCCATTAAATGCCAGCAAACACTGGAAGCAAATCTAACACAGTCCGTCAAGAAACTTAAGCTAAAAAGAGGCTGGCTTCTACAACAGGACAATGATCCTAAACATACCTCAAAATCCACCATGAACTACTTTGAAAACAACAAGCTGAAGCTTGTTTGGACTGGCCTTTACAGTCCACTGACCATGAGAAATAATTATGATAAAACTGCTTGCTTTTGTTAGCACCAGCAATAACTTTAAACAGATACCAAGGAATTTTCATCATGCTGAACAAGCAATGTTAGTTCATTTAACATGACAGCTGCAATTTCTGTCTGAATAATATTCATAAATGAACCACATTTCCATGTCTTGGTGGCCTGGACCAGTTCTTATGACTATAAAGTAATATGGCATGATATAACGTACTCCACATGAAGGGCTCGTCTCTGAAATTTAATAATACCATGATGGAAAAAGTTCTATACTTCAGTGAAAGCACTTATTGATGTTCTGGTATTCACTCATTCGTTTGTTGTTTGTTCCCATGCCAGAAGCCAGAAACTTACAAAGGCAAATATTGACTGCGAGCAGCAGACTTCCAACTGTCTGTGTGCAGAGCGAGCACTCAGAGCGAAGCTCCATCAGCGCTGAGACGCAGCCTGCAGCTGACAACAGAACGCATTAGAGAGTCATTAACTGATGGTGTAATGCAGCGACTTCTCCGTCTTCTCTGTCTTGGCGGGCAGGCTGGAACGCTCTGCTGGGTTAAAAACCTTAATCTAGACTCTGTTACTGCAAAGCCCAGAGCGACCCAGCATTCAACCGCAAACACAAACTACAGCTCTCGACAGAAATCAGTATCAAAGGCTCATTCTGGAGAGAACATTGCACAACAGTCACACGTAGGAATGACATCAGACCGACCCGACCCTATCAGATCTGCTGGTGCTCTGGGTCAGTGTGTTCTGGGCTTATGAGATTCGGCACAGTTGTGTTTTATTTTTGTACTAAACTTTTTCTCAATAATCAACATTTCACACTGACATCAGGCATGTGGCAGTGTTCTGTGATATGAAAAGCACATTGTAACTTTAACATGGACACCTTCAAATACTGTCACTGCATTTCAGTCAAATAAATACAGTCAATGTATTTTAGTCAAACAAATACTGTCACTGCATTTTAGTCAAACAAATACAGTCACTGTATTTTAGTCAAACAAATACAGTCACTGTATTTTAGTCAAACAAATACAGTCACTGCATTTCAGTCAAACAAATACAGTCACTGTATTTTAGTCAAACAAATACAGTCACTGCATTTTAGTCAAACAAATACAGTCACTGTATTTTAGTCAAACAAATACAGTCACTGTATTTTAGTCAAACAAATACAGTCACTGCATTTCAGTCAAATAAATACAGTCATTGTATTTTAGTCAAACAAATACTGTCACTGCATTTTAGTCAAACAAATACAGTCACTGTATTTTAGTCAAACAAATACAGTCACTGTATTTTAGTCAAATACCATCACTGCAATTTAATCAAACAAATACCGTCACTGTATTTTAGTCAAACAAGTACAGTCACTGCATTTTTGTCAAACAAATATCATCACTGTATTTTAGTCAAACATTTTAGTCAAATACCATCACTGTATTTTAGTCAAACAAATACCGTCACTGTATTTTAGTCACTGTATTTTAGTCAAATACAGTCACTACATTTTAGTCAAACTGGGGAGTTTCACCACAGATTCTTTTAGATATGCATATCAGCTCTGCTTTCACAAACTCCCAGTTTGCTGTCAGGGTCCCTCCTCTAAATGGAGCTTGTATATAATCACGAACTACGCATCCACACATTTAGGTTTAACTGACACTAGAGCAGTGGCGCACCCTTCTACAACGCCTGAAGCATGCAACGTCTAGAAGGCATTCTGAAAACAAGTGCTGTGGACTGATGAGGTATTTGAGTACAATCACTAAAAGGGCGCTTGGAGAAAAAAGAGCAGCATTTGATGATAAGAACACCTTGCCAGCTGTTAAGCACTGAGTAGCAAGGCAGCCAGTGGTACAGGAAACATGACATAGGTTGATAGAAGAATGGATTCCACTAAATACCGGCAAACACTGGAAGCAAATCTAACACAGTCCATCAAGAAACTTAAGCTAAAAAGAGGCTGGCTTCTACAACAGGACAATGATCCTAAACATACCTCAAAATCCGCCATGAACTACTTTGAAAACAACAGCACGACAGAAGGAGGAGCAGTCAGAGAACTTTCTGCATCAAAAAGGTGAAAACGCACGCGCCACCCAGCTTGAAGAAGGAAAAGAGACCCCCATGACTGCGACTGGTCCACATGGCATCATGTGGTTGCCTGCATCACTGCACAGAGTGGGCCTGCAGTGGTGCAGAGTGTCAGTAAGATGTACAACAAAAACTTTAAGTATACTTACGACAGCGTGTTGAGTGGCAGTTTCATTTAGTTCTTGTTTTGCTGGAAGGACACTGCTGGCTTTAGTCGTTCCTCTCTCTGTGTCTCTCTCTGCCTGTCAAAAATCAGAGAAACCCATTTTAAAGAGCACAATTTAAATTCTATTAGCAGTAACTGCAAGTATTTCAATTGGACAACAACAGATAAAAATTTGGCAACAATGAAAGAAAATGTCAAAAAAATGTAGCACTGAGAAAGTGTGCCCATGATTTAGCTGTAAAGCCGATGATTCAGAGCAAGGAAAGGTGTAAACGCTGCCATAAAGAGGGCTACAAATTTTTCTCATTCATGAAACAGTCGTAGCTAAATAGGACAAAGAGTGAGCAGCCAGTAAATCTACTGAGGCATTTACAAATGCAGCACCTAACATGTGCCACTTATTTACTTATTCAACAACTCAACACTTATTTCCTGCATTACGATCACGCCGGAACAGTAATTAAAGAGGAATTCCACAGATTTTTCATTCAGAGTCATTCAGAGTGGTTTGGTGTGAAATGCTCCGTTCTGGAGAAACTTACTGCGTCAGAACTGTTCACAGTGGTGGTGACAGGAACCAGAATCAGAAGAGTTTAATGCCTCTAAAAGGTGCCTGATGCCCGAGACATTGTTTAATATTTTTTTTTTAAAATGCAGTTAAATGTGCAAAGGCATTGTAAGGCAAAACAGTAGCCAAAAAAAAGTTTTTTTTCCAGTTTTTCTGCTATTTTATCATTATCAACACTGCACATAGAAACTCAGAAGACATGCGTAGGTTCACTGGTGGTTTAGGGTAGCAAATAAAATGACTACATCATGACTCCTGGTTCCTATCACCACCACTATAAAGCAATCCAAATCAGTAATTTGCTCTACAATGAACCATTTTAGTCAAACCACCCTGAATAAATTAGCTTAGTTCACATCCCAACATTCAATTTATGCAGAATTTTTGAAAAATTAGTGGAATTCGCAACTGTTTTTTGTGTTTCCACTTATTCATCACTTTTGTCATTGTAATGTATTTTAAGGTATTAAAGAAAAATACTTTTTTCTATATTGTTCAGCTATTTTTTCCTTCATTTATCTGCTTTATTTACTGTATAATCATTTGTTGACTGTATGATGTTTTTACAAGTGTTTTCCTTTTTCCTTTTCATCACATTCACCTTTTATTATAATGATTCTTTTTCTCATTCTTCCCAGCTCTAAACTCAAACCAGCTCAACTGGATTTGCTGGCTTAAAAGGTTCTGCACAGTTTATGTCCTTCACTTGGCCTCTTCTGACAGAAGTCTAGGAGCCTAAGGCTCTTGAAGGAACTGCTAGCTGCTGGAGTGTCTGCAGCAGAGGAGGACGCTGCCCTGTGGATGAGGACCCAGATGGCACTCGGTCTGTCCAGCCTGGACCTCAGTGGCCTTTCCAGGGCCGTGCCAGCTGCCATGCTCACCCACAGAAATGGGCACAGACGGACTAAAGGGCTCCACCCTGACGACCAGCCTGAGGGAGGCCAGGCATCGCCATGGACACCACTGGCCTGTTTATGTCCAACACCAACAGCCATATTGGACAAATCGAGTCTGCTTAAAAATGCAGGCAAGATGACAGGGTGGGTTCAGAGTGGGTTCCATGAGAAGCATTTATAAGTGCGCAATATGAACTCTAAATTTATGTCTAAATGTTTTCTGCTGTCTATAAAATGACATTATAATTAAGACTTTGATTTTATCAGCCATGAAAACTCATGAGCACTGAAAACGGCGACAAATCTAGAAACCAATCCCCTGTAGTGGGGTCCAGTGGCATCGTTTATAGATGAAAATGTTAGAGATTTTAACATACTGGTGCACTCTGAGACTAAAATACAGAAATAACTGCAGTGGAATGATTTCCTTCATTGCTTTCAACAGCTGCGCTAATAGAAGTCCAAATATGGTACTGTTTTCGAGGTATTTTGACTCTGATCTGATAAAAATCTGCTGCGTGCTACACCAAGGTCAAAAAGTCAATGTGCACAAAAATTGGCAGGCATCATTTTTTGAGACCCCACATCTATTACAAATCAATACCATTCTAAAAACTTAGTTCCTTTGTGTTCTACTGCATATCTGTCAGGGCTCCAGTCCTTGTGGGCCAAAACACTGCACACTTCAGCGCGCTGCCTCATTAAACACACCTGATCAGGTAATTAGTAAGGCTTTCATGAACTGAATTCAGAACGTTAGATGAAGGTAAATGCTAGTCTCCGCCGTAATTTGGCCAGGAAGGTCCCCAGTTTGACATGCCTGCTCTACTGGCGATTTAATGTCGAAAAGTGCTTGGATCCCCGAAGGTTGCCATTTGCCATGTCATTTGTAGATGGTCGTTTAGCTCTAATAGCTACAAACTATGTAGGTTGACTGTCTTGGTTTCTAACAATAATAATTTATGCATTTTAACCTTTTTTCACCCATGATTAAAAAACTTAACACACTAAGCTACAACCAAAACTTTTTTTTCTAGAGACGGCAGATCAGTATCAAGCGTTTTAACTAGTAGCCACAACTTGTACAACACTTTGTGTTGGTTTTTGCTCTGATCCAACACTACAAATGTCTGTATAAATATTTAAATTGTGTGAACATTTTGTGTTGAATTTCTAAAAATGATTTAAGTAGTTTAAGTTAAAGTTTAAGAGTAATACGGCAAAAATACAAAATCATGAAACAAGCAAGATTTAGAAACCTGACAAGGACATGTTTGCCAACCAGTTAGAATGGACAAAATGTATTATTAGTTTTCATGTATTATTTCTAAAGACAAACTATTGAAAAAGAAACAAAGCAGAAAAAAACAAAACAATAGTGAAAAGTAAATGAATAACAATGACATAATAGACTAACATCCATTCAGCTTCTCAAAGCATACTGTAATGAAGTTCATCCACCCCTAATTTGTTTGGGCTTATGACTGTAGCCACTATATGGTTAAACCCATGAGACAGTCATCACTTTTATACTAATATACTCCCATGTCTATATGAATTTCCTCTGCTTGTAGCATAATGTGATGTAATGTCTATAATTGTGTAACAGGGCTAATAATAATAGAACCAAGTATAATGATTGCTGTAAGAATGCCATTAGTCACAGTCATCCAGTTCTCCTTGAGCCTGTCACTGCCTTCGTAGTGTGTCAGTGTCACTCCACATCACTATTATAGTGCTGACAACTCTTTTACACTCAACGGTGGCAACAGGAGCTAAAACTTCAGAGTCGTGTATAATTAGATACAAACATGTGTTAGCCATGCTTAATCCTATACAATTAAATCAGCTCAGCTCCGAGACGCGTCGACACAAATCACACACAGACGCAGACACACTGACTAGACATCAGAAACACCATCAAGTCATTTGTGCAAAAAGACGGCAGCCCCTTTGTGCCAGCAAACCTCATTTCTCCTCCATCCCTCTCTCTCTCTCTCTCACTCTCTCTCTCTCTCTCTCTCTCTCTCCCTCTCTCTCCCTCTCTCTCTCTCTCAAATTCATCTCTCGTTAATTATAAATCTCTGCCGATTATTCACAGCCAGTCTGGCTCGGCAGGGTAGAGGAGAGAGAGAAAGAAAGGGCGAGAGAGAGAATGAATGCTAGAAAGAAAGAAAGACGGAGAGAGAGAGAGAGAGAAGAGAGAGAGAGAGAAAGAGAGAGAGAGAAAGGGAGAGAGAGAGAGAGAGAGAGAGAGAGAGAGAGAGAGAGAGAGAGAGAGAGAGAGAGAGAGAGAGAGAGAGAGAGAGAGAGAGAGAATGAGCAGTCTGACCCGGTTTCTCCAGAGCCCAGTAGTAATGCAATGTGACACACTCAGAGTTCAGACCACAACACTACCAGCCTTTCACTCAACGCACCGCAGCTCAAACCAGTTCATCACGACTTACGACTTTCACTGGATGCAGATGAGCAAGACCAATCAGAAGCAACTAAACACCCATCTGAGCCTAGCCTTACAGTCTAGTTCCGGAGTGATCGGAGGCCTTAGGACAGGGGTCAGCCACTTGCAGCTCTTTTACTGCCCTGTTGTAGCTCCAGAGCAGAATTAGATTTTTGGGTAAAAATAAAATAATCCTCCTTTGTAGTAAAATAAAGCTCTGCTGCTCACAGTTTTAACAATAAATGCTCTTAAACGCTGAAGTTAAAGTAACCTACATCTGCTAGTTCACCAACTTTTGACCCTGAAAAAGTCGAACATTGAGAGACATTTTACAAGAAACTATTCTACTTTTGCAGAAAGTTTCCTGCCAGAGATGCAACAAAAGCGAGTATAGCCGAGTTAAAGCAGAGCAAAGTAAGTCTGCGTTTTTGCTTATATTTATTAGCCTACTGAGACATATTTACAGCCAAGATGGTAAAATGGATATAAAATGTTTGGTATCTCGGTTTGTTTCACTTCTGCACTGGAGTTATGAGGCTGATGTAGCTAACACTTAGTATAGAAAGACTGAATTATTTTATATAAGGTGAGCTTTACCCCACCAATTATCACTTACGTTACACTTATACTAACGGTCAAACCTTATTCTCTGCTAAATTCGTTTGCTATCCGGCACTGACCAGAGGAGGATGGGTTCCCCTTTTGAGTCGTGGTTCCTCTCAAGGTTTCTTCCTCTTGCTCTTAGGGAGTTTTCCCTTGCCACTGTCGCCATTGGCGACGCTCATGGGGGCTCAGGGCCGGATTTTTTTTTCTGCAAAGCTGCTTTGTGGCAACACCTGTTGTAAAAGGCGCTGTATAAATAAACTAACTGGACTTGACATGAATCATCACACAACTGCCCCGAACTGTGTTGAGCTGCTAGACAAAAATAACAAAAGTATGGATGGATTTCAGCCTTCAGAACGGCTGCTATCCCAGCCTTTAGCTATGCAGTATAATGTGGCTAAGCATGCAGTTTGCATGATGCTAATAAGTGCACTTCAAGTAAAGAAACTAAAGAAGCAAGCAAGTCTTGGCTGACTGACCACATCTGGGGAAATATGAAAGTTGAGTAAGTCTGATTTTTGACTGAATTATTCCTTTAGTGGCCATTCATAGCACGGAAGTCCCCT